AGAACGTTAAGTTAATTCACTTGTTATTATTTTTGGCTAAATATGCTTTTAAATAAAGCATATTCTTAAATTTTAACGAGGCAGTTTAAATAATTTTGCAAATGGTACTGTACACTTTTGTCTAGTTCTCGCTCGATGATCGGTGTAGAAATGAGCTCCGCAGACAAATATGATTGAATTTGGAATTATGCTACGGCGCATCCTAATAAAGGGAAGGGGCATATCTCTAACTTCCTGAAACGAACAGTACGTACTTATTCATCGTAGTATGGTCAACGTCCGTATATATTCATAGCGCATGTATGTAACCCACTAAAAGTACTTAGATTCGGCTCAAAAGTTCTCTATTCAATAACAGACTCAAAAGCTTAAAGTACCTACAAAGTTCGATGAACAAAATTTATTAGGGATCTTGATTATGTAGACCAACACTGGGAAAGTCAAAGTTACCCCTTTAGTTACTTACCTTAATTCTTGCAGTAAAGTATCGCCTTGCGCGATGGTCGATGCGCAAGCGTCCAGGCTTTGGTCGCGATGTTGCGCAGTCTGCTCAAGGAGCCTCTCGATATTTTCTAAACCGTCGGCGACACTCTCGTCACCCTGTAGTTCCTGGCGCAATTCATCGACCCAGGTGCCCAATTCCTTTTCGTGGGTGTAGAAGAGCACTGCCAGATCGAGACGGCGCCGACGTTGCTCGACGCGCGCCGCGAACGCACTCACGTGCGCCTCGAGCTCGTGCGCCACAGAGTAAATCTCGTCAGCGTCGCACTCACCCGTCTGCGCGAGTTCTTCGGCTGCGGCCAGGAGCTTGTCTGCGTTCGTATACGTATTCTGTAACAATGAAACGTAGCATTTAAGCTCAAACGTTATTTTAGACATGATTAAACTGAGTTAAATTATGACTTACAAAGTCTACAAAGAAAAGAGAAATAATTAATTTACATTTCAACACTTTTTAATATCCTAAAGATCAAAGAGAATTTCAATCATTCATATAATTAAACACTGTTTCGGTATTGAGTCAAATTAGGAAGGCGAACTTNTATAAGCCTATAAAAGGTTGTATTATGAAAAATTCTGGTTCTTTTAGCCCATAATGTCATTTTTAAATATTCGTCTTACATCAGTGCTACTTTTTATTAATATCCTAAAGATCAAAGAGAATTTCAATCATTCATATAATTAAACACTGTTTCGGTATTGAGTCAAATTAGGAAGGCGAACTTCGTTATAAATTTAAGCTAAAGGACCGTTTTCTTTGCACTCGTCCAAAAATAAAACAAAAACACTAAATTTTAATTGGTGATCTCGCCTTCCGAAACTGACCCGAGCGGATTTTCATGAGCTTTCGGATTCCTTTTAAGTATATGAAACTTGGGGGCTTTTTTATTCGTCCTTAAGCCAAAAAAGCTCCCAACAAACTGTGGAAAATAATTCCACAGCCATATACAGGCTTCTAAATCAGATTAGTTGTTCAGACCAAATCACATTGGTCGCTAGTTTGTGATCGGAATCGGTCATCGGGTGTGCGTGTTTGTTTACGTGAAACGAACGCGATGTGTATCACATACTGCCAAAGCCAACGAGGCAACGTGAGTCTCAATCTGCTGGTTCGTTATTTATTTATACGTGACAGGAATTTTAACGAGCAATGCACATTATTCCCATTGTATCGTAAAAATTTTATTTTAGGAAATCAATTGCAGTTGTTTACCGAATAATAATGGTTAACGGTGACGCTCTGATTAGATCAAAGAGCTTCTGGGCAACAAAAATATTATTTTACCGTTGCAACTGGAATTTCAAAATCCTACCTTCCGCGGGCTATGATATTGTTCGAACTTTATTATGCATTAATATTACTGTTATTTGTACATATATTTATTTATGCAGTACCTATACCTGGATGTTGTATGTTAATGTCTGATTTTAACAATGATTTATTAGATTTTAGTATATTCTCAGTGAATACAGTGGAATTGTTTTAATATCAACGAGAAGCTTCAGAAACATACGATAATTTACATCGAAAAAAGTTTGACTCAAATTTTTAGATTAATCTTATTCGATTTAAATCAATAAAAATTTGTCCAAATGTCAGGAATGACTAGATATTTTCAGTCTGCCATTTAACAGGTGTTCGAATTAAACGGGCCGAACCAGTGAATTAAACAAAGCAGTTTCTTACTTCCTGAAAGTCAATGTTTACTTTATTGGACCAAAAAATTATTGGTTAGAGAAAGCCTTTACTGTATAGGCTACGTTCTGCAAATGATTACGACAATTTATTATTTTCAAGTTCACTTGGACGGTTCTCTGCATCCAGAGGTAATTGCTAGCAATTTTTCAGATAATAGCACCAATTTTTCTCTCCAAACTTGGAATTTTACAGCAGTTACTTGAAACTGTTTAAGTACGTAATTGATTTTGCGGGGATCCCGGAGCCTATTACGCCCCTTTTAAACCCTTTGGACTTAACTTACGTCTCTCAAATTACTTTTAAATTACATCTACTATTTACCCGTAACTACCAAAGTAATAAAGGCAGCATCTACACTAAACCATATCGAAGAAACGTCCAATAAAGCACAGACGTTTACATTGTTAAAGTTTATGAGAGAAGTAATAAAATAGGAAAAGGTAAAGAGAATAAGAATAGACACGGGGTGGTTGGTCATAGGGGTGACTACCTAATATTTAAGAAAATTGCAAATTGTGAAATATTATAAAATATGAATGTTTTATATGGACTTGAATTGTTGAATTGAAAGCTCTATGGCATTTTTTTAATTTTTAATAGTGGTTAATATGAAATATGAATGTGAAAATTAATTTTCAATTTTCCGTCCACTAGCTTGTAGTTTGTAGTGGATGGAAAATGAAATTTCACAATAACATTTCATTAAGAAAACTTTTTTCTCTTTAACTTTTATAATTGATGACGGGTTCTTTTTAACTTGTGGTTTAAAATAGTTCTTTTTATTGTTATACTAGGATTTACTGGCGTTGATGTCCTAATACTAAGGCGCCACTTTAGATAGAAAACAAATTTTTTTCCATATTTAATAATATAATAATGATGGAACAATTTTGACTTGCATGAATAATTAGGGAACGATAAAGCGCCGAAAACAGGCACTTTTGAAGTAAACAAATTTCTGTACATCAGTACTATAAAACAAAAGTTAATTTGTTGTTTGTTTCATCGTATTAGATACCGGAGGCACCACAATCACTTACTTGAGATGTACAAATATAGCAGGCGATGTTATCTCTGTTTTACAATGATACAAACACAATACACACGACATCGGCGACGACGATTTACATTCTACAGATTTCCATACAAAGACAGAGAAATAATAATAGATAATTATGGGGATTCGATGTCGTCTGCTGCATAACCGCGATAAATATAATAGAAGAATGTTGAGTGCAGGTTGTTGAACTTATTAACCATTTTAATTATACAACGTCTGGTAATAAATACTAATATTAACAATTCCTGGACACTGAAATCATACGAATTAAAGGCAGCAGAGACATTAAGGTCACTATTTCAATTACATAAATGCATTGGTTAATATGATGTCTTTATTGTTCGCGAAAAGTTTTGGGCACTGTAACTCAAGCGAATTTATACATACACTTATCAACCTATAAGCCTATAAAAGGTTGTATTATGAAAAATTCTGGTTCTTTTAGCCCATAATGTCATTTTTAAATATTCGTCTTACATCAGTGCTACTTTTTAATCCATACATCGAAGACGCGATCAATATCATTAAAGACAGTACAACAGTAGAAATAGATACGCAGAGGCAATAGATTAGTATGATTAGATTTGCAGATGATATAGCAGCATTAGTATTTAGCAAGGAGGAGTTAGAGATAGCTTTAAATAAAATGGAAGCGATATTGACAAAACAGTACTGTATGAAAATAAATAAAAGTAAAACAAAAATACTGGTATGCAAGGGGAAAAAAGTAGGGAAAGAGCGAATATAAAGATAGGAGACAAAATATTAGAAGTGGCTGATTTTAGGTATCTAGGAAGTCAGATAGGTTAAGACAGAAGGAGTAGAAGGAATATAAAGCAGGGGATAGCGCAGGGTCGAGCCGCCTTCAATAAAAAGAAGTCGCTTCTATGTTCGCGAACGTTTAATTTAGAAATTCGAAAAATATTGTTAAAGGTGTATGTTTGGAGCACGGCGTGCAGCGCTGTACGGGTGTGAAACACGGACGGTGGGCGCGGCGGAAAAGAAAAGGTTAGAAGCGTTCGAACTGGTGTTACAGGCGAATGATAAGGATACCGTGGATAGAGAAGGTTAGAAATGAAGAGGTATTAGAAAAAATAGGAGAACAGAAGACTCTATGGAAGTCAATAAGAAATAGCCGAGATAGGTTGGTAGGACACCTTCTCAGGCATGACGTTCTAGTCAGAGACATATTAGAGGCAGAAACAGGAGTTAGGAGGGGTAGAGGTAGACCTAGATTAGATTACTGTTCGCAAATAGTTAAGGATGTGGGATGTTCTAGTTTAGGGAAATGCGAAGTTTATCTCAGGATAGGAAAGAGTGGAGGTGCATGTCCAACCAGTCTTAGGACTGACGACCTTACGATGATGATAATTAATGCTGGGTAGTGTCTTACAAAGAACATCAGCTACAGAAATGTCAAATTTAGGTTAAAAACAGAAGCACAAAACAGTAAATTTTAAAAATTCCCACAATGAAAAGCAACGGGTGACATGCCAAAAAACAAATTTTACTAGAAAAACTACAGAACAAGTAGATTATATCTAGTAAACAAAGAATAACAACAATAACCGGTTTGACAAGAAGGCTGCTCGATCTAAAGTAACACTGACCTCTTTTTCCCCTTCTAAAGGCGTTCATTAATCGCGTAATAGAAAAAAGGTAAAGTACATGAACTCGATTAAGACGAAATCGAATCGTAAACCGAAAAACTGCAAAAGAAACAAAGGAAAGTGTCAGCGGTTGAAAGCATAAACCGACTACGTGGGTTAATTAGGTAAGCGATTTTATTTCGTAAATGGATCAGCAAAAATTAGTGAGCAAATTCTATTTTAGAGAAGACAGAGGCGTATTGGAAGCTTCCTATCTTGTTGATTATCTCGATGTATGTATCTTCCGGATTCATCTTAATCAACTAAACATTTCCTCGAAGTGACAACCTCATTGCCTAAGTTGGCTGCTTTTGTTTTCGTCGGTAATTTATTTATAGTGTCGATTGCGTGCTGATGGGAACGAATAAGTTGGTAGCTTTGATAAAGTAGAAGAAATTAAACTTCTTCTTATTCCGACGAATTGTAGCGACTTAATTAAATTTTATTTTGTCATTTGTATTTGAGGTTCGTCATTTACCAATTAGATACACTAAAAAAAGAATTTCTAGAGACAAGGGGTGGATAAGGTTGAAAAACAGAGGCTGTTACGTTCAACACACCCGCGACATACTTCTACTCCAATTTATATGAAGCAAAACTGTCTTGGTAGCGCTGAGGGTATTAAAATTTTAAGACTTCGTTACGAAAATGTAACGAAAATTATTATTTACCTGCTATGCATGAGAGAAGGGTCCAAAATGTGACATTTTCCGAAAATTTAGCCTCACTTACTTATTAAGAATTTTCTTTTTCTTCAAACAGCCATAGAAATGATGCAAAAGAGCTGGTAACTGCCATAATGACAAACAAGCATAAGACAAGACATGATCATGAAAACGCTCACTTCGTTCGTGTTGTCTTTTCCTACCGTATCCTTACCACACGGTTGACAGAACTGCGAAAGCTGCTACACTATACAAAT